GTGCAAGGCAGCTCTCGTCAGCCTGTTACCGCAGTCAGCCCTGGTGGCACTCACAGCGTCACATTTTAGGCAGAGTCCCCCATCTCGGGGGGGGGATGTGCGTCCTCAGCCCACGTTCACATTTCCCACCTGGAAAGGGCTTGGCTGGGCTGGATTAGTTCTTCAGGCGTCGCTTCTTAAAGCAGGAGCTGCCCACTCCAGACTGGAGTCCGACACCAAACACCGGGCTTCTGGAAGAAGGCGTTTTGGCAGCTCAAACCCAGTCCTCCCGTTTCGCTTCTCCCTTGAATAAAATGTCCGAGATACCACAACATGCTTAAATTAAAAATAATAAAATGGCAGGGGTGTGTGTTGTGGGGGAAATCAGGGCAGGCAGGGAAAGCACAGCAACGGGCAGGGCGAGGCAGGTGTGAGAGGTTGATCCCATGGCAGAACGCTTGCTGTACGTGACCGGAGGAAGCGAGGGGGGTAGGGCTCGGTGGTGGGGTTGGCAGCTCGTGTAGGCACCCCTCTCCGTCCCGCCTCCGCTCCGGGTTCCCATTTGGAGAGCTTGCGGACGCGCCCGGGGTGCTCGCCTCCCCTCCTCCTCACCCCTCGCGTGCCGCAGCAGCGTGCAGAGCTTTCCCCGCTGCACACCCTCCACCCAGAGCACTTCTAATGACGGTAATTCCTCCGTAACGTCTCCGGGATTTTTACAAACTGGGCATCAGGCGTGGAGGGGTCGAGAGGGAGCACAGCAAAGAGCCAGGGAGCGCCCCGAGCCGGGATGCCCGCGGTGAGAAGCGATGCCGCGGTGCCTAGGTCAGGCCCAGGCTGGGAGGGCAGGAACCATTTCTGAGCGGTTTCATCCCAAACCTCTTCCCAGAGGCTCAGGAGGGATTGGCACAAAAACTGTAAAGCTGCTTTTTCTGATTTGTTTTTTCCATTGTGCCAGGACTGGAGGAGAAAACAAAGGTCTGAAATTCTCACTCAGGACTGGACCAAGCCTGGCTTGCAAAGCCTCTTCAGAACAAACCCAGATCTCTCCGGGATCTCACAGACGGTGAATGCAAACGCGGGTGCCACGGCCAGAGGACCGCGCGCCTACCGACACCGGGGGCACCTCCGCGGTGCCCGGTGGCAACGCCGGAGCTCAGCCAGGGGCTGCAACGCAGACAAAAGCCAGAGCGCTTTTAGTCGGAGACAGAGGCACAAACAGCTTCGACGAGACCTTTCCGGCACCTCTCGTCGGTCAAACCCCTCGGACCCCCTTGCTCCCCACCCCGCAGGCGGGTGGCCCGGGGTGACACAGGAGGTGCCCCTCGTGCCACGAGTGCCCGGCCCTGAGGGCGACCAGCCCCAGAGCCCGCGGGACGAGCCACGGTGGAGCGGGGTCACACGCAGGCACGAGCGGCACTGGTGTGAGCTCAGCGACGACTTCTCTCAGCCACGGTGGATCTTGGGCGAATTCCACAAACTCAGAATCCCCACAAAACCTTCTCCTTCCTCCTAAGCTGGAGCTTCAGCTCTGACCACAACCTCCTGCCCGTCCCGCTCAGACACCAGCTCCCTCCTTTCCCAGCCAGGCCAAGCCATGCCCGGCCCCACCGCTGCCAACCCCGTCCCCGTGGGCGCTGGATGCTCTGGATGGGAGGCTTGGCATGAGGGAGAGGAGGGCACTGGTGAGGCCGCACCTTGAGTACTGTGTTCAGCTTTGGGTTCCTCGCTACAAGAAGGACATTGAGGGGCTGGAGCGTGTCCAGAGAAGGGCAGCGAGGCTGGGGAGGGGGCTGGAGAACAAGTCTGATGGGGAGCGGCTCAGGGAGCTGGGGCTGCTCAGTCTGGAGAAGAGGAGGCTGAGGGGAGACCTTCTTGCTCTCTACAACTGCCTGAAAGAGGGTGTAGTGAGGTGGGTGTTGGCCTCTTCTCCCAACTAACCAGGGACAGGACGAGAGGCAATGGCCTCAAGTTGCGTCAGTGGAGGTTTAGGTTGGATATCAGGAAAAATTTATTTCCTGAAAGAGTGGTCAGGCATTGGACCAGGCTGCCCAGGGCAGTGGGGGAGTCCCCATCCCTGGAGGGGTTCAAAAAACATGTAGATGTGGCACTTCAGGACATGGTTTAGCAGGCATGGTGGTGTTGGGGTGATGGTTGGACTTGAAGATCTTAGGGGTCTTTTCCAACCTTAATGATTCTGTGATTCTATGAAAGCACAGTATGGTGGGGTATTGGGGAAAGGGTAAAGCTACGTGATGGGCTGGCTGCAGGTTCAGCCAGCAACGCTTCGAAGTCTCACTGGACGCCGTGGTGGTGCGACAGGCACGTCTCCACGACAGGGCTGTCGCCACAACAGCAGTCACGACTCCTTACGCGATTCCTCACGGCCAAACGAGAGGCATCGCCCATCACCACAGGACCTCAGGAGCCGAGGAACAGGGACAGCACTCGCTGTCTCCTCCGCACTCCTGCGTCTCCTCCCCAGCCCCACCCAACACCCACCACGCAGCACGGTGCTGCCCAGCGCACTGCGACACTTCAGCCGGCTACGGGGGTCTGCAGATGGGACAGTCCCTGGCCTCCCCCCATCACTGCGGGGGGCGGCCTCGCCGTCCTGACTGTGCCCATCGCCGCAACAAGGCAGCGATACGAGGTTCTGCCGCTTGCTTTGGTAGAGATAACCCGGCACAGGGTCCCAGAAGCAACGTCAGAGAGCGAGCATCACGGTTCTGCAGCCTCCTGGAAGCTCTGACGGCGGCTCTGCCTTGCACACGTGCTTCAGGCAGCTTTGGTGATCTGCTCGAACAGGAGGAGCGCGAGTACATTTACAGCAAGTGCTGCTTGAAAAGCTTCCTGGCTGTAACCCCACTCCACCAGTTTCCAGTGGAGCTTTCTGAAAACTAAAAATCCACCTCAGAACAGTGAGCTCCTCCCCGGCCAAGGGCGTTGCTCCCTCCAGCGCAAAGCAGCCTCAGGTCCGGTACAACAAACTGTACGTGGAGCAGGCTGGTAACGCAGGGGCCTGGAAACCGAAGCTTTGTAAATGATTTATTGGCATGGGTAACACGGGACGCGGCAGAGCCCACAGGGGACGGCGAAGCTGACCACGATGCGGCGTCGGTGTCAGGGGGTTTTGGGCTAGGAGCTGGCCCGTGTGTTACCTGTGACACCGGAGGAGGTGGCACTTCAGAAAAGGATGTGGATTTGGGAAAATGAGCCTCTTTGAAAAGCACCACTGCTCCAAGAGTGTGGTAAATCTGTCACAGTGACATTACCGTATAGCTGTGATGTCTACAGACACCGGTGAGACAAGATTTACAGGTACCAGCAGCATCCTCTGTTAGACCTACTAAAATAGTTGGAGAAAAACCCACGGAGCCTGCAGACACGCGGCTCTTCTCCAGCTCGGACGCCAGCAGTGAACTGAAACCTGTGAGCAAGCTGGGCAGGATCAGTCCACCCGCGGCTCAGCCAGCCGGCATGAGAGTCAAGGCACCTCAGAGCAGACGGGGGTTAGCAGGGGGGAGGCCATAATGTGAATATTTCCCAGAAGAAGAGAGACCAGTGACTTACAGTTTGTGAAACATCATTTCTCCGGGTCTGGCAATAGTTTTGCTCAGTTTTCCCCCTCAGCTCTCAAAGCACGTTGGGAAGGAGAACGACAAACCCAACGCTTGTGAGAAGGAGTGAGTCAGTGAGAGGTTCGGGAAAGCTTTTGCAGATAAAACCCAGAAAGATGGTGAGATCATTTCATCCGACCATCTGCACAATTCAGGCCACGAACCACGCTCCCCCTCGGCCCCGGTGATACACGCGTGGTCCCGGGCAGGGGAAGCCACAAGTCCCCTTGGTTAGTTCATTGCTACGGTTAATCATCCTTGATATAATTTGTGTGCTAAGAATAGATTTTGTTATACCTTAGTGCCACTTCCAGCCCACAAGAGCACACTGCTCCTTCCTTTTTTTAAAAAAATAGCTACGTCTGAAGGGACCTCGATATCCCTACCAACCTGCAAAGGACAGGCAGGGCCCTGAGAAAGCAGCATTCACAGCTTTATTTCAGCACCGAACCAATGAAGTAGCAAGAAGGATGTAATTTAACTGCGTGAGGCGCGAGGGCAAAGCTCACAGAAGGACCGTCCTTGGATTTCAAACACTAATTGCTCTGCACTGAATTTAAAACAGAGGATGAAAAAAGCGAGCGCGTCTGGCCGGCCCCCGCCCGCCTC